GGAACACAAATACCACACAAAATCTGACAAAAATTGAGTTATTGTATCTAAAATTAAAGAATACAATTGACTCAATCGAAGAGAAATAGTGAAAGAAATTCAAACCGACCGGTTGGTTTGCCTCTCAACAAGCGCTTCTTTCACGTCGTGCGTCAGACAATAGTTTCTAAGTTTGGGTCCACCCAAGAACCTCCTTGAAGTTGAGGTTCTTGTCAGTGATGTGGAGTCTCAAGTCACCAGCATGTGGTGTATCAGGTGATATAGGCTCGTGTACTTGATGCAGATGAAGTCTCCACCTTCGAGACCTCTTCTTCTCTTCTTCTCTCGTATCATTGCCCCAAACCAGATATGCAGCATCGATTGACCATCATAGAGTCCACCAAAAGGGACCAATGTCGATGTGGCCTTGGTATGGCAAAAAGACACTGCAAATAGGTATTTGCAAAACAACTACTCGAAGTTTGGTGGAAATATTATATGTAACTCATGGTCGGTGCAAGCCTTTTCCACCTCAACTTCATCCTCCGCCTGGGCGCCTATTGCATCTTCAACCCCCTTCCTTCCTCCACCTCAACTTCATCCTCCGCTTGGGCGCCTATTGCATCTTCAACCCCCATTCCTTCCTCAGAATTTGATTCTTCCCCTTGGAAAGGATCAAGAACTTCCTCTGCTTCACTTACGTCATCCTTCACTACTTCTTTCCCCATTCTTTCTCGCTCTTCTCCTTATAGAACGGATGGGAGATCAAGTCGCCATGCAATGTTTTCAATAAGATCAGCTTGCATATCCTCGCTCATGCCCGCCTCTTCAACGCTCGATGTGGGATGTGGAAAGGTATGGTCGGTTACAACAGGACATTCCTGATCATGATCATCACATGAGCTCTCTGTGGCAACTTTTGTCTGCTCCACAATGTCCTTCACTACAAAAGAATCATTTTCCAGTCACATGGTTTTGTGTGCAGACATAATGAGAAAAAGTACAAGCCGTATTTATCGAGCGAAATTCAGTCCCATCTCGTTTAAAATAAATCCCCCTCGTTAATAATGAAAAAAGACGGCTCAATATACGGTGCATAATTCATGGTTATGCAATCATGAGTAACTAAATCTCGACCCTTCATTCAGAAAATCCAGATCTAATGGTGAAAAATTAAAGTCATTTTTATTTTCCCTTATTTTCTTAATTGGCTCATATCTTCTTCGTTTTTACTCGAATTTCTTTTTTTTTTTTGCATAGATGGAACGAGTTCGTTGTGCTCTACAAAATGTGATCCATTTTCAATTTTTTTTTAGAAAAAAATTTATTGCCTCTCGTTACCAACTGCATACCATATGGTATCTTCTTCATTTTGAAGTCATTTTGGAAAATTTTTGCACAGAAGGAACAAGTTCATCATGATCTATTGGATCTACAAATTTTTGGGTGAACAAATTAAATACATGACCAAAAAATACCACACAATACCACCCTGGTACTGGGTGGTATCTTGTGGTATACAATGTTGAAAGTCGTAAATGACAGTTAGTATACTCCTACTATCATGTATTCAACCATTCTACAGTCGTAAATGACAGTTAGTATCTCATGGAACATGTCGCTCCCAATTCCACCTCTGCTCCGCTCCGCGCTACGATGCACCCGACCATAGCCAGCATCTCGTCGGCCGTCGCCCATACTATGTTTGCAAGAACTAAGAGGAACTCCTAAGTATCTAACATTGAACCCTCACAACCGGTAACTATATCTGGCAGCTCGAATGTTTCTCTCTTCCTGATCTAAACCACCAAAGAAAATTTCACATTTTCTAGAATTTCCCTTAAGCCCAAAAATCTTCTTCAATTGAGCTAATACTCTCTGAAGTTCTTGAATGCAAAAATTTGAAGCATAAGAAACGACTAACAGATCATCACCTAAGCACAAAGAGTTGATTGAACCTTCTTACACATTGGATGATAGGGAAAAATTCCGGCAGAGGTAGATTTATCTAACAGACATGTGAAAATCTCTGTGGCAATATAAAGCAGATAAGGAGAGAGAGGATCCCCTTGTCTGAAACCTTTCCTTGCTTGAAAATATCCAATCAATCCCCCAGTAAAGCAAAAACTGAACATTGGAGTTCCCATACACATTTTAATCTAGTAACAAATCTATAAGAAAACCTCATACCCTTAAGAACTTGAAAAATAAAGTTCCAGTTAACCGAATCAAAAAGCTTTCATAAGGTCAATCTTGAGAGCACATCTTGGAGAGATATTTTGATGGGAGTATTTACTGACTAGCTCATGTGCTAATAAAATGTTATCACCAATGAGTCTTCCTTTTACAAAAGCTATCTGGTTCAAACTGATTAGGGAAGGAAGAAGAGGACTAAGTCTGTTTGATATGAGCTTGGATATGCCTTTGTATAAGATATTGCAACAAGATTAGGGCTGGCTATTTGGTCCGGATTTTTTGGTTTTACCCCAAACCGGACCGTATAACCCGGACCGAGACCGGACCAGGATCGGATAGTAAACAATTCAATCCAATCTTTGGGCTTAGATTTGAGGTAAAAAATCGTTCGGGACCGGATCGAAAACTGGATAAAGACCGGATAAGAGAGCTCAACACCCAAAACTTAAGGGTAATTTGCATAAATGGTCACAAACCTTTGCACTTAGTACAAAACTTAACCAACTCCTCACCCTTTCGGGCCTTAGGCCACTCAAATCCCCACAAGCTCAATATAAAATCAAGCCTGAATTGGGACCGGACTGGGTCAAGACCGGACCGGACCAAGACTCGATTGTATCCAATCCAATCTTTGGTCCTTATATTTCCAAAAAGACCGGACTGGACCGGATCAATTTTGGGCAATTTAACCGGACCGGACCATATTGCCACCCCTAAACAAGATATGTTTAGAAATTTTTTCATTTCATCATGATTATGGACTTTTGGGATAAGGGTAAAGATTGTAGCATTAACTGTCCTAGAGACTCTATCATGCTCTAAACAAAATTAAATAGCAGATGTTACCTCAGGGCCATTAAGTGGCAAGCATACTAGAAGAAATCAACAGAAAAGTCATCCGGACCTAGGTTTTTGCCTCCACCCATATGGAGAATTTCCTTGATCTGATCGTCCGTGAATGGATCATAGAGTCCCTCAGTTTGCTCCTCAGTAAGTTTCCTTTTTAACTGGTCATCGTAGAATTTATCACTTTGTGCTTCTACTTTAAATTCGGCAACTCCCAACAGCTTCTCATAGAAATGAATAAAAATTTGAGTCATCTCCTCAACATCCTAAATTTTCACCCCCTGCTCATCCTAAATTTGGGTCATCTTATATTGCTCCTATGTTTCTTTGATCTTACAGAGCGACAAAAGTAGGCCAAATTCGTGTCACCTATTTTGAGCCAATTTTCTCTCTGATTTTGCCTTAAGAAACATTCCTCAGCATCCATCAATATCTTAAGCTCCTGCCCCAACCTCTTTCACTCCCAAAAGGAGCAAATTAAGGATTAAATAAAGCTTGCTGCTGAACCAAGTATAATTCCATCTCCTTCTCCTTGACTCTCTGATATCAGAATACTCCTCCCTGTTGAGTTTCCTCAATAGATTCTTCAAAATTTGGAGCTTCTTGCAATCCCTTATCAGAGGATCACCAAAAACCCTACTATGCCAAGCCTCCTCCAGAAGCTCATCAAATCGAGGATGGTAAATCCAAAACTTAAAGAACTTGAACGATTTAGCAAGAGATTTCAGGGAGGCTTCTGTATCCACATAAATTAGACAATGATCCGAGACACTAGGGGATTGAAAATCAACCTTATTATCTTTAACCTTGTCAATCAATCAAGGTTGACTAAGACTCTATCCAGTCTCTTAGCAATAGGCCTAGCTAACTGCTTATTCATCCAAGTAAATCCGGGACAGTGGCTTGGTGCTCTTCCAATTCAAAATCAATAATCCATTTATGAAATTGATGCATACTAGAATATGGCCTAGGGGAGTTAGAAGCTTATGAAGGGTGTCTGATATCATTAAAGTACCCTAACACCGTCCAAGGGGCATGAATCACTTGAATTCGTCTAAACTCATTATAAAGCAAATGTCTTGAACTATCATCATTGAGGCATAAGCAACAGTAACAAAGAAAGGCTGAGTACCTCCTACCATAAACTGGATAAATTGATCAGAGGAATGAAGAACCGTGAGTTTGACATCCTTCTTCCAAGGTAACCAGATCTTCCCCAATCCTACTGAATTATGCTTAACTTTGACCTCCCAATCTGGAAACCGCTTCACAAGCAACTTGTTTGTCTCATAGACTCTTATTGTGGGCTCTAAACTAGCAACTATATCTATACTATACTTGTTTATTGTTCTATAGTGACCAAATGTGAATTTTATTAGTAAACTTAGTGACCAAACTTGCAATTTACCTCTTTATTTTTTGTATATACACAAAATTTAGAGAAGACTCTTAACCACATAAATATATATTTTCTAATCCATTATTATTCTTAATCCATTCATATTTTTCGTTTAGTTGTATTAAATTTGCATAAATATTAGAGAAGACTCTTAACCTATTGCGACAGTTGTAATAGGTACATCTCATGGCATCTAAAACAATGATGATTCAATGATGTCACTTTGAGGGTTCCATAGAAAGATAGATTGAGGCAAAATCCAATCTAACTTAATTAATGCACTTCTCATGGTTATTTATACTGTTAGGCTCAAGAGAAGGAAGCACGAACTAATGGCCCAGTTCGTAATACTTGCACTAGCATTATGAAAAACCATCAAAAAGTTAAGTGACCATTTCGTTGGTAAGACCAAGTTAAGTGACTATTTCGTTAAATACCCGTAATAATCCTCCCTCTTCCACAACAAGGCCAGTTTATATTAGACAAATATTGCTGGCCGGCCGCAAGTTGGCGATGGATAGGCCAATAGCATTAACGCTGCTCTATTCTATAAATAAAATTTGGCAATCCAGACGCAGTAAACTCACCAAAACCAGCCCAGTCCTGTTTAGAGCATAAGCTTGAAAACAGAAACAATAATGGCGACGGTGGCCGGACTACCAAAGTACGTGGTGCTGAAGAACAAGTCCGTGGGGAAATACCTCCACTTCCTCTGGAACGACGAGTTCGGCGACTTCTACAAGGACCTGGGGTGCAAGCGCGACGTCGACGAGGTCAGCCCGTTCATCCAGTTGGAGGTGGTCCCCTCCGCCGCCGACCCGTCCCTGATCCACCTCCGCTGCTCCTACAACAGCAAGTTCCTCCAGCTCACCACCAAGTACGGCGTCTCGTGCATCTCCGCCACCGCCGACGCCGCCGACGAGGACAAGGCCAGGGCCACCTCCACGCTGTTCCAGCCCCTCTTCCCCGCCGGCGAGCCAAACACCGTCGGGTTCATGCACGTGCAGACCCAGTGCCACCTCCGGTATTTTTACAACGAGGGCTACGGCGACATCAACTACGTCGCCTGCGTCTACGCCGACGAAGGGTACGGGTTCGACCGCTACGAGTTCGCGGCCTGGGAGTCGTACGAGGACAAGACGAAGAAGAAGAAGGACGAGGAGATCCAGAAGCTCAAAGACGGCGGCGACGGGGAGAGCCTCACCGCGGATGCGATAGTGGCGGATCTGAGGAAGGACATCGCCGAGCAGAACGCGCAGCTGGAGGCAGCGTACAAGGAGATTGCGGCCTTGAAAGTAGCGGCCGGCCAGTGAGTTAGTACAAGGAAGGAGATCACTTGTGCATCCTGAGAGATCATTACACCAGGGCCCAGGCTGCCATTCTAGTTTGATCTGGAGGCATTATATGGATTTCTGTTATGTAAGATTTCTGGTGTTTTGGAAGATTGGGTGAAGTTGTGTCATTGTGCGTGGGTATATGTGTCATTGTATTGTATGATGGTTGAATTAAAAATAAACTAATTCGCTTTGAATTAAGCGATGAGCACTTTTATTATGTTATAAATCATTTGTGCTTTAATGTACAACTCGAAGTTATACCATAACGTTAAATGTATAAGTTCAGTTTGTACCATAAAGAAATTTGTACCCTTTTCGTTATGATACAATTTTGCAACTTAAAATTGTATCATCGCATAAAGATACAAGTTTAAGTTGTATTACAAAAGAATTTGTACAAAATAGTATAGGTACAACCTAAAATTATACGATAAAGACAAAAACCGATAACACCAATACTATATGACATTATAAAATTCCTCGCATATGATACTTTTGTTTCTACAAAATATCATACCAAGCATATTCTCTTTATTCGTATTTCGAAATCGAGTCTATTATATTATTGACGGCTAGAAAGTCCACCCATTTCTTTTTGTCGCTTCTCCCCGGAACTGCAGCTTCACGATGCTGCTACCTTTGTCTCGTCGGGTTCAATGAGCCTTCATAAATAGAGCAACACTTCCGGAGCAGCTGCCGCGAGAGAATCTTCTTTTGGATCGTTTGGGTTAAGAATTTAACTAATGTGGAATTTGGCTCACAATCACACAATTAAAAATCTGATATTTTAAACCCAGAATTTGGGTTAAATATATTGTTTGTTTAGGGATGGGAGATTTATTAGTTAGATAATTTAATTCTGAAGCAATTGTCTAAATTACAATTATGTCCTTTGGAGCCAACATCGGATTCTTCCTTGCCACTTATCGTCGACTTTGCCAGATTCTTCCCCGTCGTTACATCCTCCAAATCCATGGGTTTCGAGACCCTCCACCCAGAGACGGCGGTGGGAACGCGAGACGGCGCATGGAGTTTGAAAACCCCCAAAACCGCACTTTAAATTTCAGGAGGCGCTCCTGATGAAGTTACCCTCCACAGCCATGCCAGTACCCTGTGCCGGAGACTCTCAACACAATTTACCGGCTTCTCTGCCGGCAATTCGTCGAAGGAGTATCCTTCCAATTTTGATTTGGGCTTCTCCTTCGTATTAATGATCAGGCGTTAGAAGAGATCCACCAAATGCTTCGGGAACCGTCTTACGGATCCGAGGCGGGTAATCCCAATTCCAAGGAGAGACCCGCCTGCATAAATCAACCGACACGGAAATCAAATCCCTACCCGTCGGAGTAATCTCTTGCCCGTCAGCGTTGCCGCTGAACTGCCCCAAAACCTCTGTCAATAGCAGCATTAGGATGATTCTCCAGTAAGAGGACGTCTCTCGCGAGACCCTCTTCCTTCATATATCCGGTGAAGTAGAGCAAATCGAGGAGGAACAGCCCTTCGACGGACATGATCCATCGCCATGCTCGGTTCCAGCCTAACCTAGGCCGCCAACGCCGTTGTCGCGGGATTTTTTTGTGGAGCGCACACCTGCAGTTGCAGTGGTACGACCGACCCTTGATCCCGTGGTCAACGCCCAACAGCGAGGCTACGAAGACCCAGTTCCGGAAGAACCTGTCCGCCGCGGTCGATCCCGCAGCCATTGAAGCGAAGCTGTTGTTGTTGCTTCCTTCTTAATTCCCTCTTTATTTCTCCTCCTTTCCAAATCGAAGAAAGGGAGATCGGCGATTGAAAACAGAGGAAAACAGAGGAAGACGAGGAGGATGATTTGAATTCGGAGCTGGAGGGTCTCGGGTTAGGACAAGGACGAAGGATCTGGATTCGGAGACGACGACGAGGAATACGAGAGGTTTGGGTTTGTCGAGGGATGAGTACGACGAAGAATGGTCGAGAAGAGGGATCTGGAGTAGGGTGATAGCAGGGGTACGTATGGCAGAAACAAAAATTTTGGGGCCATATTTTAAAATACAATTATAGAGAAGTTCGGCCTTATGTTTGATTGACTGTCATTTCTCTCAATCAACTAATTCAAATGACTTCAACTGTATTAGGCTAAAATTAATTTTTTGTTAGCCGTTTTCTTAGTAACATTAACTTGACAATATGATATGGACTGAGAAGAGATATATGGTGGTCAACATTCAATTTTTTTTTTGAAAATTTGTGCTAATAAATGATATTTACCTAAACCCAAGTAGACCCATTGATTATGGATAGGGTATAGGTGACGTATATATGAATCTGGAAGTTTGTAAATAGGTTTGGGTGGACATGAATATTTACTTCTATAATCTAAATGTGTATGAGTTGGATATAGATACCCATTTATTCGATATTGTTTTAGTTACAAATACAAAAATTAGATCTATTTGTAAAACTCAAAAAGTTTTAATAGTATAGTAAATCATTATGAATTAATAGTAATAATAATATCTAAATATTATTTATTGCAAAAGTGTTTGGAATTGAATCAACCTGGATATGAAAATATATAAATTAAACCTTCTCGTAAACAATTTTCTAAGACGTCAACATATGTTATATTACAGAAATTGCTTACTCTGTTATGAGTATAGTTAAATAAGGAAATGAGAGAGACATGGCTAAAATATAATTATCATGCCTCACGGCAACTACTAGATATAATATATCATTATCCTTCCTTTATATAAAAATGAACAAATGTATAATATCGATATCATTTAATTGTTCTGGACACTTGGGAGTATACATGTGGTGGTGGAGGAGATGAAAGAACGTGGGAGCATGGTAACAATATTTATCTTCAGTATATATGCATGTGGTAGTTATATTATATAAAGAATTAGGTACATATTTTTTTTAATAAAGGGAGGCAAGATGCCGAGGGTTACAAGGAAGCTCTAAAGAGCAAACAGAAGCAGAAACACAAGGACAGCAACAGTAAGAAGAACTCTCAACTAGCTGGTCCCTGAATCAGTCTTGGGTCAGGATAACCATCCTAAAGAAACTCACCCTCAAAGTTTTCTTCTTTGAGGATCTCCCTAATTCACTAGGTGGGTTCGCTAGTTTATACATACCGAAGGGATACACGAGACTGTGCTTCGAGAATCAGTCCGCGGCTCTATTCCCCTCTCTGTATGTATGTATGTACCAATTGTACCACCCAGTTTTGAGCCAAGAGACGTCTAATAGCAGTCAAGATCGTTGAGTGAGGATGGACAGGATCTTCTCTATTCCTTATCAAATCAATGGCTAGCTTCGAGCCCGTTTCAAGAATGAGAAACTAGACACCATGATTGTGAGCCAAGATCAACCCTTGATGAATTCCCCATAGCTCCGCGAGGATCGCCAAACGAGTGCCAATTTTGCAGCAGAATCCTCATTTCCAATCGCCATTACTGTCTCAAAGAATCCCACCTGCCGTAGCTAATTTAGTGATGTCTTGAGCAGCACCGTCCGAGTTCATCTTCATCCAGCCATTTGGTGGAGCCACCCACCCCACCATCTGATCCATTCTCTCGGGTTTATTACTAAATTGCAGCTGTTGATCCGCACGTTCCCAAGTTTGAAGCCAGCTGGTCGCTTTAGTTCTAACATTGTTGATGAAGGATGATTCAGCAAGTCTTTTCCCCTAAAAAATAAAATCATTTCTGTACTTCCATATATACTAGCACACAAGGGCAAAAAGACTCGACCAATGGTCTTGTCCTCCATCACCCTCTGTATCTTTAAGGTTTCTGCGGAACCAGTCAATATGGCCATTAATGAAGAAAGTTCGATGCTTCTGAGCTGGAACCAGCCTTTCCCAGATCTTCCTAGCTGTTGGGCAGTCCCGGTGGCAACATATTTTTATTTCGATTGCGTCGGTGCAAATGGGACATTTGTCGTCAGTTGTCAGATTTCGAACTTTGCGCCGACTATTTGTAGGCTTTTCCTTAGTAGCCATCCAAATAAAGAACCTGACCCTTTCTGGACAATGCAGTTTCCAAATATGGCGCCAAATGGTTGAGTGCTGCTGGTCAAACTCTGGACATCAAGCTTTGTAGGCAGAGTTTGCGGTGAACAAACCATTGGCGGTAGTCTTCCAAAAAAGAGGGTATTTTCGCTGTTTGATAAGGGGTCCAACATGGTTGCGCGGATTTTGTCTATGACTTCAACAGGTAAGAAGTCTTCAAATTCATGCAGCTTCCAGCCATTATCTCCTTCCCAATAATCCACTACATTCTTGTTTCTTTCCTCAATGAGGATCTCTTGAGTGGCAGCCTCTATTAGAGGTACCTGCAAAACCCAAACATCCGTCCAAAATTTGGTTAGCTGTCCATTCTTAACATTGAGAGCTGCACCTTTGCGTAGAAGGGCAGTAAATTGAGCAAAGCTGTTCCAAGTGAAGGATCCTTCCTTCTTTTACTGAGAAGCTAGAGTCTCTACCTATTCCCTTCGTATTTGTTCCTCAAAGGTTTAGCCCATAGAGTTGTATCCCCTGTAGCGATCTTCCAGGAACCTTCGGCTAGCATCGCCCGATTGGCCAGTCTTGTGGGTCGAATTCCAACTCCTCCTTGTTCCCTAGGAAGAGTGAGATGTTCCCAAGCAATAAGGTGGAATAAAGTTTTCCCCTCCTCCTCTCCCCAGACAAACTGGCGGTTGATCCTGTCAAGGTTTTGACAGACAGAAGCTGATAGTTTTTCTGTAAACATAGGATATATCGCCATGGAAAAAGATATCGAGTTCACTAGGGTGATCCGAGCTGCAACTGAGAGATGGTTAGCTTTCCAAGTTGCCAATTTGCTTTGGATCCGAGAGATGAGCTGTTGGTATCTTTCTTTAGTAATCCTGCCATTGATAGTTGAAATGCCTAAGTAAATGCACAAGTCATTTGTTAGGTTGATCCCAGCTCTCGTACTCAGCCTCTGGGCCTTGTCTCTATGAACATTCGGTGAGACAAACATAACTGATTTGTGAAAATTCACTCTTTGGCCTAAGCTTGAGCAAAATTCCTCCAAGCAAGTTCTTATAATGTCCACCTTCCGCCTCTGCAAACAAAATTTAGTCATTAGCGAAAAAAGGTGGGAGAGCTTTGGTCCATCCCTAGGGAGAGGAATTGGTTTCCAAAGCTTTCCTTCCACCGCCTGTTCAATACGATGAGCTAGCCTTTCCATGCATAAAACGAAAAGAAAAGAGGACAATGGATCTCCCTGATGAACTCCTCTAGTAGGTCTGATGATGGAAGTGAGTTGTCCATTCCAATTGATTCTCATTTGGGTTTTCTCCATGCAAGTCATTATCTTGCTAATCCAGGTGCTGGGGAGCCCAATTTCACCTAGAGTATCTCACAGAAAACTCCAGTTAAGACGATCATAAGCCTTCTCCAAATCTATTTTGATAACAATACCTCCCTTCTTCACCTTCTTATTTCTAAGCGAATGTAGCATTTCTTGCAGGAAGATAATGTTATCAGTAGTCTGTCTTCCCCGGATGAAGCCGCTCTGAGTAGGTGCTACTAGTTTTGGCATTAGCGGCTTCAGTCTGTTGGCCATAGCCTTGTAATAGCTTTCAAAGCTACATTATTAAGACTGATATGCTTGAACTGAGCTGGAGTTTGAGGGTGATCCACCTTGGGAATCAGCACGACTATTGAATCCATCAACTCATCCGGGATGTTTCCTACAAGGGGCCAAAAGTTCTGGTAGAATATAGCTTGAAAACCATCTGGTCCCGGAGCAGACATTGACTTCATCTAAAAAATGGCTTTATGAAGGTCAGAGATGTGAAACGGCCGGGCGTAGCAGAAACATTAACTCTTCTTGATTTAGGCAAGGAAAATTGCCTCTCGGCATCAGTTCTTCGTACTCCCCTTCCTCCTAAGTATATAGCATCCTGTAGAAGTCGACCACCATAGTTTGGAGATACTCCACATTGTCGATCCAATCGCCATTGCCATTACGCAGAGCTAGAATCCTATTCCTTCTCCTCCTTCTAGTAGCTTGTTGATGGAAGAAAAAAGTATTCTGCTCTCCAAGTCACACCCATTTTTCGTTGGCTCTTTGAAACCAATACACCTCTTCTTGAGCTAAAATCAAGTCTAGCTCCTTTTCCAGCTTTATCTGAAGTTTCAAAAGCCCAGGATTCAAAGCGATAGCAAGCCTTTCGGTGATCCTCTGAAACCTAGCAAATAAGTGTTTCTTTTTGCGGTATGTGGACCCAAATACTTCCTTCTTCCATTGCTGCATTTTGCTCGCCATATCCTTGAGGGAGCTGATAAGCATTGCCTCTTTATCCCAATTCCCAGCCATAAAATCCTGGAATTGAGGATGGAGCAACCAGGCAGCCTCAAAGCGAAAAGCGTTTGAAATGTCAGCCTCTGTCTGAGTCCCAGCGTAGCTAGTTAGGATGGGGAGATGGTTTGAGTGGAATTTCGGTAGATGTTGAACTGTGGTGTTGGGGAAGGTGAGGTTCCAATCATCGTTGCATAGGGTCATGTCAATCCGACTAGCTTTGTGAGTAGTCATCGAGTCCCCTCTAAATCAAGTGAAACACGACCCTATATATAAACCCGAGATCCAGCAGCATAGCTTCGTTTATCCAGTTTGCAAACCTCCGACACCTCCTGAGATCTTGCAAGGAACTAACCCCGTGCTTTTCATCAGGTGAGTATATGGCGTTAAAATCCCCAGTTATCACCCAAGGAAGCTGCCAATCTTTGCTGGTTTGAATGAGCTGATACCATAGAAGGGAGTGAAATTTATACTTAGGGCTGCCATAGATACCAAATAACAGCCAATCCGAATGATTAGCTTTGGAAACTTTGATGGTAATGTGCTGTTGACTGGCATCCCAAGTAAGGGTAGGCATTCGGTCGGTTTGGTTTGAAACGAACCAAAAAGATGCATACCGGTACTCTGATTCCCAGCAAAGGCCAAACTGATTCTGAACCGAATTATATTTCGGTTCTGTTTGGCCAAACCAAAATATTACTCGGTTCGAAACGGAAAACCCAAATTCCGATTTCTCCCATTCTCTCTATTTCTTCTTCGCTGACAAAAGACACCCCCCACAAAACTACTTTTTCCTCTTCCTCTTCCTCCTCACACCTCTCCCAGTTTCTTTTCTTTCTTCCCTCTTTGTTGCAACATCAGAAACAGAGATCGGGCTCCATCCGTCGCTGACGGCAGCCCCGGCGAGTCCCTTACTCTCCATTCGGTGTCTCATTGTGCTCTTTCTTCTTCCCTGTCCAGCCGCAACATCAAAGATCCGCTCCTCCGACGAGTACTTCTTCTCCCATGGCGGCCTTTACACTCCTAGAGAGTCCCTTCTTTTCCCCCGGTTGAGTTGAGTTCCCTCCGGCGTTGAGGTCGCGTTCCGCTCCTTCGTTGCCGGTTTCCCTCTCCCATGGCGTCCCTTTCACTCTCACTATTTGCATGTGGTTATCGCCCATCTGAAATCCAAAATCGGCAGCAAAAGCAACTTCGATGGCGCGATCTGGTCTCCCTTCCACTGTCGCCGCCATGAAACCTAGCTGCCCTAGTACCGCCGAGCTTCTGTCGGACCCCTTCATCCTGACGCCGATGAGGATGTGGGTGACAAAGAGACAAAAGAAGGTAGTGAACCCGGATTTGATGGCGGAGACGAGCTGCACGGGTTGGCCGTAGAATCTGTGGAGGGCAAGGGTTTCTATTGGGAGTTTGAGGTCATCTTCATCGTGGTGGTGGGGAAGTAAACTGATCAGAGGATTGGAAGTCCAGCTGAGCTAGGATGGGGTGGAGCGGCGGACGGGAGAGGAGGGATTTGGGGCGGTGGTCATGAGGGGAGCTGACTATTGCGAGATGAGGATAGGGGTGGGAGGCGATTTCCAAAAGATGACATGGGCTTAGGGTTTTGGTAGGAATGGGTTGAGTCTTGAGTAATGTTTGGGCTTTTGGAGTGGAGTTTGTTGGGCTGTAGCCCTTGTGGGAGAGAGTGGGCTGCCAGTTGGGCTTTGGGAGAGGGTGGGTAATCAGTTGGGCTATGGGAGAGGGTAGACTTATTTGAGTTGATTAGTGTAATTCGGTTTTTCAGTTCGATTGTTCGGATTTTGGGTTCGGTCGGCAGACCCTAGTTTCCGAAATACATAATTTTTCCTTCCGAATTTCGAACTGAACAACAAAAGTTTTGTTTCGGTTCGGTGTAACTTCGGTTTGGTTCAGGTTTACAAAACCGGATGCCGACCCCTAATCCCAAGGTGTAACTGTAAAGCTTTCAGATTTCCAAGCAAGCCTAATACCATCCGATCTGCAGTTGCATCAACTCGGACGACCTCATCAAACCTCAACCTACCACAAGCAGTGTTAGCATGCTCACCGCTGATCTGGGGTTCAAGAATAATCAAGAAATCTGGTTTATGAACATCCCTAAGCAGTCAGATAGCTCTTATGAATTTTCTTCCACCTGCACCACAAACGTTCCAGGATAAAAAATTTAGGTTAGATTGATACATAAAAAGAATATTAAAAAGACGAGAGAGGGAAGGGGAATAGAGGTTTAGATGGAGCTAGGAAGCTCGATGGCGATGGGTTCTGAAGTTTCCAAACTTCCATCAGGCAAATTTCTTTCAATGGCTTCACTGGGTGTGGTTCCGACATCGAAACGTCCTTCATCTTCCCATCGGGCTCAGTCTGGACGTTCTCCTTCCTCTTCTGAGCCATAGTGCAGAACTCTTCAATGGCCTTCAAGGAGATAGGAAGGGATTTCTTCCTACGGTAGTGATTTCTGATAGAGGAGTCAGTTTGAGAATTGGGGTTGATGTTTTCCTTCCGATTGAGACTCAGATCAGGCACATCGAGAATTTGTATTTTGGTCTTGTTTTGGCCGTTTGTCACTTGTTTTGTTTTCATAGTGGGCTTTTAAATCGAAGCCCGGTTATTTTCAGTTCCTAGATCCCTGGGCTCTTTGCTTGTTGAAGCCTCATTAGTATTGGGCCCTATAGGACACCACTCCTTCGTTATAACCGTTACTTTGCCTCCACCAATTGCCTTTTTGGTCTCCGCTACTTTCCCTTTCTAGTTCCCCTATTTTCCTTGCTTAGATCCTCCCTGCTGATCAAGCTTTCTGTACATCCCCTTTACCAGCTCCGAGGTCAATAATCTGTTTTCCTATTGTGGAGCCAACGTCGCGGGGTGGATCTTGCTTCCTTCCTTTTGTTGCTCTCGGAATGGGTGCCTGATTTGTAGCCACTTTAAAGAATTAGGTACATAGTATGATCTAATTTTGACCATCATGGATAAATCTTAAGAATATATTAATTTGTATAATTAGTGAATCCTTATTTGAGAAATAGAGATATGTTATAATTAATGGCGCCGTTGCCGGGGACTGCCATACCTTATTTTTGTTGATTTTTGTGAGTGAACTATTTTGATCTGGGTATTAGTGTGCAGAAGAGTTTTCAGGTTTATCCTCCTTGTGCATGCCTAGGAGGACGACCGACGATTTACTGCCACTTGATCCAGAGATCGAGAAGACCTGCCAACATAACAAGAAGCAGGTTAAGTTAGGGAAGCAGCCAACCACAACTCCTAGGCCTTCCCTAACCCATAATCGTCAATAGAGAGGGCAGGCTTCATCACCTGTCATCCCTACACCACCGACACCACCACCACCTCGTGATATTGAGTCTGTCATCATGGCAGACGAGGATCGTTCGATCAGGGCTCGTTTGAATCAACGGGCTGGAGCCCGAGCTTCATGTGTTGTCATTCCGGCTGCGGATGCAACCATGGAGATTACCCCAGCATTTATCAACATGATCACCAGTGGATATACTTTCTCCGGGGCTAGCAATGAGGATTCTCACGAACATCTCTGCCGGTTCGCGAGCATATGTGATACGATGAAGAGCCCAACTGTGTCTGATGATGCAATTCGTCTTTGGATGTTCTCATTCTCTCTGATAGGGAATGCATCACACTGGTTTCAGAACTTAACACCACGTTCCATCACAACATGGGCTCAGTTTGAGAAGGTCTTTCTGGATAAATACTTCCCACCTGCCTTGGCAATGAAGAGACAAGAAGAGATTGTTACTTTTAAGTAGGCTGATGATGAGAGTCTGATTGAGGCATGGGAGCGCTATAAGGGGCTATTGATGAGATGCCCAAGCCATGGTCTTGAAGATTGGAACGTGATCATTATTTTCTTCAATGGAATCAGAAGGGAGTTTCGGGATGCCCTAAATAATGCTCTTCTCGAAATGGTTTCACAAGGATGGAGGCTCCAGCAACATATGAACTGGTAGAGAAGATCTGTTCAGAAGTCACCGAATGGGGTAGTGAGAGCAGTATTCGAAGAAGAGGAGGCCTTTATGAAGTTGACAGAGTTACAAGTCTCGAAGCAAAGATTGATGCTAAGCTGGATTCTAAGTTTGATGCACTCGAACGAAGGCTGGACAAGATTGCTCTGGGTAGACAAGAGGAGGTTGCTTTATGTGAACTTTGCGAGGGTGCTCATCATAGGGATATGTGTCCACTGGGAGCTGCTCAGTTGGAAGATGTCCAATATATCAATAATCCGCGAAGTCAAGCCAGGGTGGTATGTATTCAAATACATACAACCCTCAATGGAGACATCACCCCAATATGTCATGGTCAAACAATAATCCAGCTGGTATTCGAAACATCCCACCTCCTGGTTTTCAACAGCAGCAACCTTAACTAGAGAAGAAGCCCCAGCTGGAGGAGTTGATTTTGGCTCATGTGCAGAAAACAGACAATAATTTCAAGGGTCTTGATAAATTTGTCACTCAACAGCTAGCCATCAATAATAATATGCAATCATCTATGCTAGCTATGGAGAGGCAGATAGGCCAGATGGCTCAAACTTTGGCAGATATTCAGGGTAGGATTCCGGGGACTTTACCAGCAAATACTGAGAGAAATCCAAAGGATGTCATGGTTGTAGCAATCACATTGAGGAGTGGAAAGGCCTTGGAGGATCCAGAGAGTTCAAGGAAGTCAACAAAATCTGAAAAAGAAGGAGTTGCAGAGGTAGAGGATGAAGAAAGTACAAAAGCTGAAAAATCTGACTTACACAGGCAAACTGCATGCAATCTGCCTGTGCATGAGCATTCTGCCTATGCACCTCCAAAGGTGGAAATATTCAAGAATGAAGAGGTAAATCATTATGAACCTCTCGCACCATTCCCTCAAAGGTTAATGAAGCCCATGGAAGACCCAAACTTCAAGAAATTTGTGAATATCTCAAGCAACTTCATATCAACATACCGTTGGCGGAGGCACTTGAACAGATGCCTACATATGCTAAATTCTTAAGGGATTTGCTGACTAAGAAGCGCAAATGGGCTGAGCTAGAGAAGGTAACCCTTACTTCTGAATGTAGTGCTGTGATTCAGAATAAATTACCAGAAAAGAGGGATGATCCGGGCAGCTTCACCATTCCATGTGTCATTGGAGGTGCAGAGTTCAATAAATCACTTTGTGATCTTGGAGCAGGAATTAATTTGATGACATACTCAGTCTACAAGAAATTGGGATTGGGAGATGTTCTTAAGCCTACTCGGATCACTCTCCAATTGGCTGATCGATCAGTAAAAATTCGAAAAGGAGGGGTGGAGAATGTATTGGTGAAGGTTGGGAAGTTTATTCTCCCAACAGATTTTGTAATTCTGGAGATGGAAGTTGATAGGGGAGTGCCTCTCATTCTTGGTAGACCTTTTCTAGCAACTGGAGATGCACTCATCGATGTCGGGAGAGGCAAGTTGACATTCCGAGTAGGTAAGAAGGAGGAAATTTTTAATGTCTTTCAAGTTGACCATAATCACGATGAATTTGATGAATTGGAAAGTGGAGCTTGAGAAAGGAAAAATTCCTCTTCCCGTGATAGTGGACCACCCAAAGAACTATCACATATCCTAGCAGCTCAAAGTTTAAAATCAAAGCAAGGGCAGAAATCCTTGCCAGGTCACCTAAAGTATAGATATTTGGGTAAGGATTTCAATCTTCATGTTATTATTCCTTCTTCACTGACATTGAAATAAGAAGAGTACTTGCTTGAGGCGTTGCAGTACCACCTATGCCTCACTAAGGAGTCCAACATGCACGCTAAGAAGCTCATACCCAATTTTAGCACACCTGGCCCTGCAGAGGTGGCTCATATGTTGGATGAAGGTTATGCATTCTATCATTGCTCGGGAGGGTATTCTGGATACCTTTCCATACCCATTTGGTTGAAAGCTCCATGAACGTCAGGCTGAGGACGTTAAACAAGCGCTTCTTGGGAGGCAACCCAAGGTGAGTTTTCTTTTCTTTATTTTTTTCTTTTTTGTTGTGTCAAACCCGTGCATGTTTAGATTAGGAGTTGAACATTAGGGACAATGTTCCATCCTGAGTGTGGGGTGGTGAGTCTTAGTGTTTGTTTGTCCCTATGCGTGTGGTAAAAAAAAAAATAATAAACCAAAAAAAAAGTGTCATTTGGCTATGCACAGTCAAACTGCATGCAGTCTACCTGTGCAGATGCAGTCTGCCTGTGCTAACCTAATGGCTTAAAAACACCTAAAAATCAGAAATTTTTAAAACAAAACCTTGTACTCTTGTGGTAACATGATGTAAATGACTGTGATGCCTTGAAAATGAGTTTGTGCTTGAAGGAAATCATCAAAATCACCCTCACTAGTGTTGAATTACATAGTTCTTCACAATGAACTTGATGTTTTGACTGACTTGATATGCTTTGAATGAGAAAACTCTTTTAGCAACACTCTATTTTGGGAGGATAGTGTAACGACTTTTGGTGAAGTAGTTAGGTGGAGAACATTGACCATTAGACATGTTTGGATACCGTGCTTACTTGCATTTGTTGTGGGCTTTTGACTTTGCATTGAGTCTCTTTGTTTTAAAAGGTTTTATGATGGGGTGAACTGTATCTTTATAAATGAGAAAACACTACCTGACAAGTAAAATTAAGAAAGTTGCCATAACAATTAAGGTGTGGGTAAAATACCAAAATCGTGTGAGGCAATCACTCATTGCACAGGGGGATTAGGAAAGGTTCAATTGAGAATCGGTTTGCGACTATACGATGTTTCTTATCAAGTACGATTCCCCGTTGAGTGAAGTTCCATTTGAGGATGTGCAGTGACCCTCCACACGGATCGAGGAAAAGGAGTTGAAAGAAGCCCTTATGCGAGTGCTAAGAAGCAGAAATTGCTCTTGCTCGGTCACCGGTAGTAAGAAACAAATCCCACTTGTACTAAATACGACAACTCGGCAAGCAAAATTAGAAAGAGAGAAAGCCTCTCCTTGTCAGAAAGGTAGTGATGTGCTTAAAGTTAAAACCAAGTTTGCGAAAAGCTTCCCCCATTTGTTTTTGAGACTCATGTTTAGTTAATTTCTTATGACTAATGTGAGTAAGCCAGATCGTCCTCACGAGATATGCACCTCACTGATGTGGTTACATTCTCCTAATAATTATTGCACCATAAGTTGTTAACCACACACTAATGACGATCTGAATTGAGTGTTTGCTAATTGAGTTTTTGGTGGATTTGAGTCAGTCAATGTTAAAGGGTTGAAAGACCTTGAGTGTGGGGTGAAATGTATGATCATTAAAGTACAACTCATCAATTGAGAAAGAAACTATTGATTATCACAAGAGTACAATGGTAAATTTATGGTGTTGATGTTATGTTTCCTCCAATCATCGTTCTCTTGTTTGAGTCATTGCTTAGGGACAAGAAACAATTGAGTGTGGCGTTGTGATAATAGGCTTTAGTATATTGGATTCTTGAGCTTTATGTGATTATCCCATGATATGTTTAAACCGATTGGTGCTATTTTAGGGCTCGTTAACCAGGGAATGGTTGAAAAACCATTACTTCCTAGTGCCATGAGTTTGATGTATTACAGGTGAAGAAAGCACGAAAAAAGGAGAAATTGCACAGACAAACAAGTAAAAGAGTACAAACAAAAAGTAGATTGGTGTCCCACGAACAACATTGAGAGCAGACTTAGGTTGGGGTTTTACTCGTAAGCTAAAGCGCATTACGAATTGGGCTCGAAAGGGGTGGCTATCAATTGTCCCTGGACAAATCAACAATGGGCCACACAAGCCCATTTTTCTTCGACGGCCATTAATTAGCCAGGGCACAGGGAATTACGGGGACATATAATTAAGATGTGGATTCTTTTTGGGAAAAGAGGCAGCTTGGGACGGAATTCTTTTGGGGCGAAGCAAGTTTCGGGAGAGCAGCAGCGCGGAATTGGAAGTGAACAACATCGTAGGCAGCTTGCGGGTTGGAAGCGAGTTATCGCGCGAAGCAAGCAACAGGCGATTGAAGCAAGAAGGATTTGGTGCCGGGATTACGTTCGAGAATCTCAGTATTTTTCCTCATGAACTAAACCCCAATTTCTGGGGGACAATCTCAGTATAATCTCAGTATTTTGATACGATGATGATTATAAACATGATTGTGTGCTTTATTTTCATCATGAACTAAACCCCAATTTCTGGGGGAAACACCATAGAATGTAGCTATTTCTAGAATTGATGGATTGATTCATATTTCTTTTCTTCCAATCTCTATTGCATGAAATTACTTAATCCTTTGTGTTGACTGGCCACCAATACATTGATTTGTTCTTAATTAGGTTATTAGCGACAGTGAAACCCTAATAATTGAACATATTTCATGTGACATAGTAACTTATCGAAGCGACAGTGGATTAAATAAGATGCTATGTGGTCTTGATTGGGATATCAGTCTTCAGGCTAAATAATTAAGTCATTGAGCTACGGCAGTAGGATTTGATTTAATTGTTTAGTACGTAGTAATTCCCGACAGGGATAGCTAACACAGTAGAGATATCTTGGCTGTAGAGAATTAGATTAAATTGATTAGAATATGTGAATTAATTTGGATGTGATAGGTAGTGAGTCCCGGTGTTTCTCCCAGAGCTTTCTCCCATTGATTTCAACCCGACAATTTTAATTTGCTTATTTTGTTTAATTATTTTGCCATTAGACAATAGTTTCATCACTCAAATCATGTTCACCTATAGTTTGCTCTATAAATTGATAGAATAAAAGGTTGTACCAGTCCCTGAGAGACGATACCCGGACTTTCCGGTTTACTACGAGATAGGATTGAGGCATTACGATTTTGCCCTATCAATTAATTACCTGGAAAGTCAATGAATGAAATTTGTTGTGTGATGGCTAACACTAGTCCACCAGTGAAATTTTCTGTTTCGATTTAATTATAAATCGATAGAAACATTCATGATAATGACCAAGATCTTGAATATGCATGATAATGATAAAATTTCTTCTTCCAGAGATATTTTGGATCCACATGATCTTTAAGTCGACAAAACATTCATGATAATGACAAAAACATCAATTTCCAAATTGACATAAGATCGACATAATCTTAAAGTAGATGTAACATCAAGTTAATAGTAAAAAGTTTCACTTTCGAAATTGGTTGAGATCGACAGGATATTGAGCAGGTAAAACATCCTTGCTGATAACGTGTTATAAAACCATATAAACGATGTGCATAACACACATAAGACAGAGATGAAGAATAGAATAGCTCTTTTCATTAAGCTTTTCTAGAGTACAGAGGCAATGCAATGAAACCACTATAGAAATAAATTAATAAGGAGAAAGACTGGTTGGCATTACAAATGAGATGGGTAGTAGTTGAACACAAGAGACATTACATAAGTGCATGAATTCATAATAATAACAATCAAATCTTGAAAATACACATAGAATAATCAAGCACACACATGCGTAGTACCTACTACGCGTAAACGTTGGGCGACAGACGTGGAGTAACAACAACATCAAGCGACCCAGCTATGATGCTAGTGAGTCCGACGCTCTCCCTCATGTCCACCGGCTTGTCTCCCAGCGTCGAAATCTCAAATGCATGTAGGAAACTGGCCAGCATCAAAAGCACCATCTGGAGGGCCAAATTCATCCCAGAGCAAGACCTCCTCCCGCTCCCAAACGGAAACAACTCGAAGTTCTGCCCCTTCACGTCAATGTGTTTGTGGGTCGTCAAAAACCTCTCCAGCCTAAACTCCGTCGGGTCGGCCCAAACATCTGCGTCGGTATTGATCCTCCAGGCGTTCACCATCAGCCACGTGCCTTTGCGAACTCTGTATCCGCCCACATCGCAGTCAGTGGTGAACTCTCACGGGTTCAGGAGCGGTGCCACTGGGCACAGTCTCATGCTTTCTTTAACGATTGCTTGGAGATAGACCAACTTGGCAATGTCTTCTTCGGTCACTACTCTTTCCCTGGAGACGCATCGATCGAGCTCTTCCTGTGCCTTGAGCAGCACATGGCGGTGGTTCAGCAGTAGAGCGATTGCCCATGTCACAGCCGCGGTGGTTGTACCTGTTCCCCCTACAATCATACTCTTTTGTTTTTTTTTTTTGTTAGATAGAGTTTGCTTTGACTAATTAGAGTCGAGATCTATCTATATATATATATATATATATATGTTAATGATCGTCCTCTCATAATTTTAGTAAAAATAAAAATATAACATATCCTGGTAAGAATCGACCGGAGTTTGAAACATGGTATTATACCCTAACTTTTAAAAAATTAAAATCTATATCTTAGTTCTAAGATCAATTTAATTAGAAACAATAAACGACGGTCATTATTTGTCCAAATACATCCAACAATACTATCTTAGTGTTTAAAGTCTATGATTTAGATAATTAAGACCTATAATTTAGTAATCAATAATTATTCTATAATATCATATTCCAAAATTCAGTTAATTCGGAATGTAAATAACGTTAGAGTAAATAGTACATTAAATTTATAAAAAAAAAAATCACCATTGACGTAGCTTTGATGACTGTATCGCGATCATATCCGTGGTGGGATTCTTCATCAACCACAGAGAGAAGAACATCCATGAAATCCTGCTCCCTTGTTTCGGATGGATCCAGGCCTGGAGCTGCTACTCGGTTCCGTTTGTGTTGAATCAACCATGCCTGAAGATGGTGGTCCAATTCTTTGGCAACCTTCTTCATCTCCTTCTCATGGCCGCCGATATCCATCCACCCGAGGCAAGGGATCGCGTCTCTCACCACAAACATCCCCAGGTAACGGAAAAACTCATCTATGGCTACCATAAATCGAGAGTCGTCCTCACCACCACGTGCATCGGCAGAGCAACTCTGCCTCCCTACAATCATTCTAAGCATGAGTTTGATGGACAAATCCCCAACCCACCTCTTGAGCTCAACCTCCAATCCCTGCCCGCCGGCCGCCACCACCTTGCGGTGGAGAGACCCTTGACCGATTCCTCGACTTCAGATTCTCTCAGGTGCCTGTGCAGCTCCAGGCGGGAGTTGGAGAGTAGCTCCACCATTTGTATCTTCCTCATTTGGCGCCAATACGCGCCGTACGGTCCGACCCCGGATAGGGCGAAGTCGTAGGACATGTACTTGGCGCTGGTGAGCGCGGGGCGGGATAAGACGGCCGTGTCGTTGACGGTGAAGAGATTCTTTGCGATTTCGGGGCTGCTCACCACCACCACGCGGTGGGATCGGATTCGGAAGGCGAAAACCGGACCGTGTTTGTCGGCCAAGGCAGCCAGGGCTCGGTGAGGGGGCTCGGGTCCGGCCAGGACGCGGAGATGGCCGATGATTGGCCATGCATTGCTTGGCTCGGGTGGGCTGCTCTTTTCTCTTTGTCGACTCCTGGAGATGGTTATCACTAGATAAGAGAAGCAGAAGAGAGTAAACACCACAACAATGTTCGCCTGCACATAATCCATTGTGTGTGGGAGATTGTCGTCCCAGATTGGTGATATGGCTCTGCAATTTCGAGGGCAAAAGGTGGCATTCTTATACTAGGTTTGGTTGTCGACAAAAAGATTCTCCACGAGAACATGCTCCATTCAAAATTTCTAGCTCTCAGAAAGATTTTAGAGAAGATATTTTTGTCATGTTAATTATTATAAAAATTGTTGCGGTTACTTAAACCGTGTTAGTATTGGGTCTTGTTGGGCCCTGTCTGATTCGTTGGATTAGGGTTTTAACCCTAAGTTTATCTATATAAGCTTAGCTATCGATTTGTGTGATAGCAAGCCGTCAAGATGTAATCCTAATAAAAGATCAGCTGTGAGCTCTTTATGAGCTCACCGTGGATTAGTCTCGATCAATCTATCGATCGAGGATACCACGTAAAATCGCTTGTTTCGTGTTCGTGTTCTTCCGCATTATCAAATTCTACATGGTATCAGAGCGAAACTCGATCCCTTATCTAGGGTTTTGAGCTTCCGCAGTCATCATCCGTTGCATCTTCGTGGCAGCATCTTCGTTCTTCTATTCGCCCGACAGTGAGCGCGATTCATAATCACTACCATCGACATCACCGTTGCTCTTGAGTCGCCGCCGTACGTCTCCTCCATCTTTCCAACGCTCGGCAGTAGGCAAGAACAGAAGTGGCGGAAGTCAGTTGCTTCTGAAATTATTGCACCGCCGCTGTCCGAGGCGACCCTCTCTCTAGCGTTGTCGGTCTCTGAAGTCCTCTCGTCGTTGGCAACACGAAGCCCAGGCCAAGCTGACTCAGATCCGGCGCCAAGCTTGAGATTCGTCATCTCGGAGGTCGCCCCGCATCAGCGAAACTCCTGAATCCCATATCCGTCGCCGAGTCCCTCAAACCCAGCGAATATGGTGTCTTCGTCAAATCACAAGTGCCTTCCCAAATCACAGTCGTGGACCAATCATGCATCACCGGCAGTCACCCATCGTTGGTTTGGTATCTGGTTCCTTCCTAAATCGTCGGCCAACGAAGTCTCATCACTGCTCGGAGCAATCCCACCAGCGCTAGCGCCATCAGACCAGGCAGCGGAGTCGAGGTGGGTTGAATCCGCGTCGATCGTCGCCCGCGTCCCCACGCCATTGAATCATCATCGTTGTTAGTTTCAGGCGAGACTGCTCAGAGCGGAGCCACCGCCATCACCAGCCTCGTCCCGACCGCAACTTCACCGTCGTCGATCTGCTTCCACCGCCATCACATGCCTCCTCTCCTCTTCGTCGATTCCCAGCCTGCAGACAGAGTCATCCTCTGTGTTTCGTCGTCGGAGGAAGAAGACGGAAGGTGAAATTGCAAATTGTAAAGGAGAAAGAGGAGACGAGATGGGCAAAGGAGGGCGGCGCTGGAATTGGTAATTTTTTTTAGGGTTTCCCAATCTTTGATTGGACCGGAAGATTGGTGTAAACCAGAGGCAGCAGGTTTCCCTTTCAGGCCGTCCGTCATTAATCAATTGGGCCGCCCAGCTCACTCTTCCAAGTGTTGCCGAATGGCCCTAACGTGCTCAACAATTCCTTTTTGAAGAGCTTTAACGGGGTTCCAAATTAATTCATTGGGCTTTGGCTTTTATCTTTCACAACATCAGTGGCCGAGTTGGCCAGTTATTTTTGTTTGCAGGGGAGAAGCAGATCCTTTTTTTTTTTAACAATAGATAGCTTTTATTACCAAGACCAAAAGACAGCACTGTTTACATCACAAGGAAAACCACCGCTCAAAATCAAAACTCTCCACACTCGCAGGCAACAAAGAAAGGGTCTTCCTGGCCACCTCATGAGCCACCCGATTGTTACTCCTGCCAACAAAATCAATTTCAAAACTCTGAAAACGCCACCGGATCCCACCAATCTCCTCCAAGATCCTTCCACCGCGCAGGTCCCTAGTATCCGCTCTCTGAATCTTCTCAATGACAACCTTAGCATCTCCATAAAACTTCACTTCAGTGAGACCCTTCAAAAAGCACCACCGAATCGCATCACGGAAGGCTACCAATTCCACTAAGAAGGGATCCACAAGACCTGCATAAGAAAAGCCTTGAACAAAACAAACACTACCCATCGCATCTCGAACCACCAACCCCCCTGCACCATGAGACCCCGGCGCCACTGCACCATCCACAAAACAGGAATACGCCACTACACCCAGCCCCTGGCTACACCTACTCCCCCCGCCCATCTCCCCACCCAACCGACTCAAATCACGTTGAACCTGAACCGGCTGCACAATCGAAAGCCACTCCTTAACCTGGCTCTCATACTGCTGCACAAGCCGCGGAATAGCATACTGCACATGATCAAAGACCACCCAATTCCGACTCTTCCAGATTCTCCATAACATCGCCACAAATCGGACTATCCTCTCAATACTAGAATCCTGCTCAACAAACCAACGAAAGAACAAAGCAAAATTACTCGCATGAGAAAAACTTACTCCTCCAACAATGCCCGACCTCTCCCAGAGAGCCCTAGCCACTATACACGAGAGAAACATGTGCTCCAAGGTCTCCATAGGCGCCCAGCACACCGGGCGTTGCAGCTTGACCAACTCCCCTTCCTCCGCACTCTCCACTATCACCGCCGGCACCTTTCCTTCCTTTTCAACAATCGCCTCCATGGTGGGCAGAATACGTCGAAGCATTGGCCACACAAAAAACTTCAACTTTGGCTGAATGGGGAAATCCCATACCTTTTTCGAAAACCCACTGTCAAAAAAGGAAACCTCATCCTTCCACCCCGGCAATCGGCGACTAAGAGTGAATGCTAGATGGTATCCCGACCTGACACTATACACCCCATCATTTTCCCGCGACCACACCAGCTTATCCCTCACCGGCTGCACCGGCAATGGGATGGAACAAATTCGAGCAACAACATCCTCATAAAAACATTGCTGCAAGCACTCAAGACACCATCTTCCCGTTCCCGGGATCATTAGCGCCTGCACTGCCACAGCATTCAAATTAGGCGCAGAGGCTCGACATACAATCTCCTCCGGTCGCCACCCCGGGACCCAATTGTCTCCTAACACCTGTACTGTAGCCCCATCACCTATTTGCCATATCACTCCTTGCTTTAGCAAATCCCTCCCATGCAAGATGCTAGTCCACCCCCACGAAGGCCTCGACCCTTGACTCGCTTGAAGGATAGCCAAGTTGGCAAAATACTTACCCTTCATCACTCGAGCCAGGAGAGTCCCCGGCTCTTGTCCGATTCTCCAAGCTACCTTCGCCAACAGGGCCTGATTGAAATTTTCAAACCGTCGAAACCTAAGCCCACCATCGAACTTACTCCTGCAAAGGTTCCTCCAGGATACCCAATGAGCCTTGTCTTTTTCAGTTGAATACCCCCACCAAAATCTAGCCATGTGCTTATCCAGTTTACGGCAAAGCGTCACCGGCAAGAGAAAGCAAGACATAACATAGATGGGTAGGGCAGCCGCCACTGCTTTCAATAGAACCTCCTTCGCTGCCCAAGACAACTGTTTCTGCTTCCTTAACATTGAAGAAGCGAAGTTTTTTTTCAATCCCAAGCTTGGTTGATCCTTCACTTGTCACTGTTGGAGTGATAGAGCTTCTTCAGGCAAAGACAGTCAAGTATCGATCGAGGCATTCACGATCCATCAAAGGGTCGTCCCCTGGCGTTCAAAAGGTAGTACGATCAAAGAAGTAATCGTCCCTTCATCGTCCAGTTGGTATTCACGATCTAAGAAATGGTCGTCCCCTCTTCCGGTTCATTAGTGGGCACATTTCAACCATTCATCGCTTTTCAAGCCGGGCATTCACGATGTTCATGCTCCAGCTTGAGGGGGAGAATAGGAGGTCAACATACGTCGGTCGACTACCTCCGTCATCAGGTCGACCGTGATGTACCAGGTGTGTTCAAGTTCCAGAGACGCAGTCAATCGTCTCCATCATCAGGTTGTTCAGAGAGAGTCAGTCGTCTCCAATCAACCTCGTCCGAGATGTTATCCATCTCAAGTTTTGTGGTTCAAGCCATCATGCTTGTTCTTCACATTTACTTCTTCAAGCTCGACATTCTTGTCATTCATGTCTTCGCTTGAGGGGGAGTGTTGCGGTTACTTAAACCGTGTTAGTATTGGGTCTTGTTGGGCCCCGTCTGATTCGTTGGATTAGGGTTTTAACCCTAAGTTTATCTATATAAGCTTAGCTATCGATTTGTGTGATAGCAAGCCGTCAAGATGTAATCCTAATAAAAGATCAGCTGTGAGCTCTTATGAGCTCACCGTGGATTAGTCTCGATCAATCTATCGATCGAGGATACCACGTAAAATCCCTTGTTTCGTGTTCGTGTTCTTACGCATTATCAAATTCTACAAAAATAATACACATAAACTAAGAAAAAGTGTATATAACCTAGCCACCACTCTAAAAATTAGGTTTTCATCACTTAAATAATTTGACAAGCTAACCTTCATCGTGACAATTAATTTTTTAACAAATTATTTAGACAAAACTTGAGAATAATAATCTTTATTATAATTTTAGACATCTAATTAGTGCACCTCAGAGGTGATTTCCGTTGGTCATCAATAAGTTTCGGGTCATTATCAAAATATCGATAGGTTTCAAGTAGGCCAGTATTAATAGGTTTTGGGTTTTATTTAATGGGTCATTATCAACACATGTAAATTATCACCTACACGTACATTTCATTATCGAACACGTTAATTATTACGGCTTGAAACAGGAAACTGTGGGTCATTGATAAATAATGCTTGATATCAGTCGTGTTCTTTGTTGTTAATTACCAGTATTTTGGGTACTTATCAAACATTTGATGGGGTATTGTCATCAGGATAATTTTATAGTTCCATGTTAATTATCAATAAATTTGTTTGTATTTAACAATTCAGCACTTATTCGTTATTAATTAGTCACTTATGTCATGCGCTGACCTTGTGCAGATATATATAGCCATGACGTGAACTAAAACTACGTCACGTAAGACGGTTACTCTTGGAGACCAAAGTACGGTACAACATTCAACAGTAGAGAATTATAATGATAGGAGGTTAATTAGTATCAGGTGCAGCATGTCCTAAGTAATGAAGATGGTGAAGAATATCGGTTCACATCTGCTTTGCTTCACGGATATGGTTTTGGTTTTGTACTGAACCTGGAGATTCACAATATTGATCAGGATTACTTGCCTCCCTATCATTGATGTTGTTCACCTTTGCCACCAGCACTTAGGGATGGCAATGAGGCGGGTTTGTCCAAATCCATACCGGTCCCAATTCATGCGGGAGGGTTTTGCAAACCCATCGCCATACCCGTGGGTTTTCGGGTACCCATAGGTAATAACTGGCCTATACATCTAACATTATACTAACTAAAATTTTATATATAAAATTTAAATTATAACATTAAATGCACCTACTATAGCATGAAGTCGACAAAGAAACAATCATTTTTTATACGGTTCAAAGCACTTATCCTAAAACATCCATTAATCCATGAGATAAAGTACAATGTAATCCAAATCATTATTCTTAAAAGATAAACCGTTGTCGTGTGAAGCATACAACTTTGGGTTGACGATTATAACTTATACAACAATTTTCACAGAGTTTTCCGGGCTTATACAGTGTTGGGAGAGTGTAAGAAATGCAGAAATCAAGCTATCCTCTCGTGTATGAAGTCTCTTAACAACATCACCCTGTGCAAATTTGATTTTCATCGGCAATTTTCTTTCATTCATGACCGAGAGATGATGGTCAGCTACTTGGTTGTCTGGCCAGTTTAATTCAGCAACTTGCTTGTGTCGCGTCATCTACTTGACCAACTTGCTTCCCTCCCTACTTTTCGTTTCTGATGCTCGATAGCTCAATGTCCCTAGCTGCTTGATTCCCAACTTGCTTCCGTCCCCACTTTTCATTTCCGATGCTCGATGGCTCAATACTCCCCGCTGCTTGCTTTACCATTTCTGTCAAACCGGGCGGCTCAAAAAGGCCCCGCACTAATTAGGCTAGGTGAACACTAATATACAAGAGTTTTTTCCATTATATTACCGATGTGGTACTCGGATTGTCCTACAACAATCCTTTCATCAAGACAAGGACCACGAACTTCGTGGCCTCACCTCAGCGATGAGCTTCTCGATACAAGGATTTTCCCAGATGCAGAACTCTCTTTGATATGCTTCTCAAATGCGGAACGATCTCTTCTGGATCCATCAAACAGACGCGAATCTCAAATCCCGAGGTCACCGAATGAGGATCCCACCAAACAGACGCGTCCATCGCCCCGAACCAAATCAGACTCTGATACCACTTGTCAAACCGGGTTGCTCATTAGTACGATATTGTCCGCTTTGGCCCAAACCCGCACGATTTTACTTTTGGATGTCCCACCAAACATACACTAATATACAAGGATTACCGATGTGGTACTCGGATTGTCCCACCACAATTTTTTTTGGCCGCACATGAAGCAAGCTTGTCCATTTAACTCAATCAACCTGCTTCTCTATTTCCACTTCCATGCGAGTGATAATGGCCACATGACCAGCAGCTATAGCTTCGGCTTAGCTAGTTAGCTTCACCAGCTTGCTTCAATCCATGAATTCTATAGTTGTTGAATCAATGGGACATGCACATAGGGACTTTCTTCCTTCAACTGGATACATACGTCCGTAATTCCTCGCATTACAATGTCGAGACGTTATTTTTCCTTTTCAATCATGCTTTGAGACGCGTTAATCCATTTCTTTTCAACATGTCTTTGAATATTATGAAACATCAAAACACAAAAAATCAAGCATAAAACTGGAAAAGACAACCAAACTTCTTTCACATAACAAGCTAATTGGATACTAAATGCGAGTATAAATATACGTATTTTCTACGTGTATCAAATTTCTCATACTTGAGTCTTTGCTTGTCCTCAAGTAAAACACATAAATTATGAGTTCAATTGTCAAACCTGTTTTATTTTATTCAAAACTCACAAACAAACATGGTGGGAAATAATGTGAATCACAAAAACAATCAAAATTGGCACACAAAATATTATAATACGAACTTTAGCAACCACCAGTCAACCACAGACGACATTTGATCATTAAACTCATGTGACATAGAAAACTCCGACTTAGATGTAAGAATTTCATGAAATCTTGATTAGTTCCTCATCATATTGAACTGTTCAAACATAGAAATCAGAAAGCATTGCATGAGAGATCGAGTACGTAGGATCTCACTTGAATTTTTAGAGATAATGGAAAGTCTCTCTTGACCAGTGGGGTCAGGATGAAAATATATTCAAAAGTAAAGATGAATTTATATACATTTTAACAACACTCGCCCTATACCATCTCTCTGTCATGAGCATGTCATTCAAGTCTTCAAACTTGTATCACCACTGACTTGTTCGGAGGTCTTTTGAACGGGTAACATTGGGGCTTGGGCATGGACATGTAAAAGTTCATTTAATCTGGTGATAAATTCAAGGTTACACAATTTTCACACCAAAACCATTACCTTATGCCTTTCCATATACTAGACGATAGGGGGACATACCCAATGGAATCTTGAAGGCTTTCCGGCATGCCTAGAGAGCATCGCCTATTTTCTTTGATTATGTCTTCCTTGAGGAGTGGATTGTAGTTTCCAGGATGTGTTTGAGGGTTTGACACCTCTACTTTGCCACTTCTTTTTGGATGGTTCGGTGTCGCCATGCGATGGGTAACTCCGTATCGGGCAAGTAGAGTGTTGAATTCTTTGCTGGTAAAGTGTTTCCCTTCATCACTAATGATAGCTTTGGGCACACTAAATCTGCTAAAAATCTGCTTGCGTAGAAAATTTATATTACTTTTTGAACCGTTAGAAGGCACAGTTGTGGCTTCGACCCATTTTGAAACATAGTCAACACCCACCAGAATGTATTGGTTTGAGTATAAGGACGAGAAGGGACTCATGAAATCGATTCCCCAAACATCAAACGAATTAACTTCCAATATGCCTGTTTGCGGCATCTCATTTCGCCTCAGTATCTTTCCTTTTCTTTGGCATCTATCACTATTTGAAACAAACTTGATACAATCCTTAAACAGGTTAGGCCAATAAAAATCGCTTTGAAGGACCTTTGCAGGGGTTCTTTGGGGACCAAAATGTCCCCCTATTTCAATAGTATGGAAAAAGGTGACAATTCTAAAGTTTCAAGTTCTGGAACACAGTGACGAATTACTTGATCAAAACAATGTTTAAACAAGTATGTTTCCTCCCCAAAAATACCGCTTTGAATCGTATACCAACTTCTTTCATTGTTGGTATGATGTGTCAGGAGGATATTGACCACTTACCGAATATTTCACAATGTCAACATACCATGGAATTGACATCTGGTATTGTATCACCAACAATTGTTCATCAAGAAAAGAGTCGTTTATCTTTGTTGGATAATTGAATCTAGGTTGTGATTCCAGCCAAGAAAGGTGGTCAGTAACCAAATTCGATGCACCCTTGTTATCATGAATTTCTATGACAATTTCCTGCAAAAGTAACCTTCATCGAAGCAAACGTGGCTTTGCATCTTTCTTGGCCAGGAGGTACTTAATGGCCGAATGATTTGTATAGACTATCGTCTTGGATCCGATAAGAAAAGACCAAAATTTATCAAAAGCGAAGACAATAGCTAATAATTCATTTTTCAGTCGTGGTGTAGTTAAGCTAAGCATCATTTAGCAACTTACTCGCATGATAGATAGCATGCAGCTTACCACCTACCTTTTGGCCAAGCACCACGCCAACAAAAAAATCACTTGCTTCGCATATTAATTTGAATGAATGATCCCATTTGGGAGTCTTTAGGATTGGTGCTGAAGTTAGCTATTTCTTCAACTTGAGGATCACTTGCAAACAAGCTTCTGTAAAGACAAAGTTTGTATCTTTTGCAAGCAAATCACAAAGGGGTTTAGAAATTTTTTAGCATCCTTCATGAAACGTCGTAAAAAACCAACATGTCCCAAAAAGCTTCTTATCCCCTTGACTATAGTAGAAGGTGGCAGTTTTTCAAAAACTTCAAATTTTGCAAGGACGACCTCGTACCGCGCGAAGAGATACGGTGGCTAAGCACAATACCTTATGTTACCATAAAATGGCACTTTT